TCCATCCTGTATCTGTGCAGTTCATTTTTTCTGCCTAGCTGTAAGACCTTACATTTCTCCCTGTTGAAATTCATTTTGTTAGTTTTGGCCCAGGACTCTAATCTATCAAGGTCATTTTGAATTTTAATCCTGTCCTCGGGGGAATTAGCAACCCCTGCAAATTTAATCAACATACTCTCTATTCCTTCATCCAAGACATTGATGAAAATGTTGAATAACATGGGACCCAGAACCCGTTCTTGTCTCTTTGTCTTATACCAAATAACTGCCACCAAAACAAGCAAGAACCATATTTTATAGGGCTGGACAACACATATATAGGTTGGGGCGGGGATACACACACATCCTGTAACTACCCTCACCCTTTACTGAGTATGCAAACTATATCCCAAAAGACTACACCAGTCCTTCCTTTAGCACAACTATTTACTGTACACTCATGTCAGAATTTCAAGCCTCTACAGCTAAATTAGTTTCACTTAAAAAATGATTTCTTTTAAAAGTATTTTTAAAAATACTTTTTTAAAAACCCCATACTGATCTCTTTTAAAAAGTACTTCTTAAAACTATTCAATGATACAAAAATCTATACACAAACAAATGTTAAATGCTTAATTTGCATCTGACACAGTGGATTGGGGTAGGAAGGATTATGTCATAATGTTTCTTTAATATGGTGCCATAAGATTTTTCAGTATTTTTCCTGTCACAGATGAACACTTCACCTCCCGTTCTGCAAAGCTAAAGCTCAGGGACATTTGCCCCTATAATTTCTGCACAAACTGATAGTAAAGTATATTTGCTAATTACTATTCAGAACTCTTTAAATCTTTGTGGGGAAAAAATCTCCTTATCAGAGGGCTGAAGCCACATGGAAAGACTGAATTACTTAACTTGTTACTTTTCTTACACCAAAACCAACATGTCCACTGAGGAGAAATTCTGGAATGTTCCTTATTCTTGTTTGCATGGAACACCTCCAAGTGAACAAGAAAACTACCTTCTTCAGTGTGAAGAAAGCAATGGTCATAGGTGGTCCTCTGTTGAATACAACTGGGTACGTTACATCTGAATACGGCTATTGCATGACATTGGTGACCTATGACCAAACTCTTTTCAGAGCATACCAATACTTTTTGTGATGTAGAAAACCTAATTTTAAATTTGCCTGAGACAGCGGGCCAATTATTCATTACTGCCAAATGTTAAATTTTTGTGAAATCTTGGGTGTAATACAACTATGTCTTTGGGAAAATGACTCTGTGTAATGTCAGCATGAAGTAAATCACATAGTACTATGAGCAGTCAGGCAAATACAAGGATGGAAATAGCCAGTTCCTGTATAGTTTCAAATATGGATTTTAAGTGGAAATATTAAAAGTGTATATCTAGGAATACAGGAATGCTGAAAGTTTGTTTTTTCACCTCAGTATGGCCATTAGTAAGCTGTTAAATGCGCTGGCTTTCTCATGTGCCACATCAAAAAGACAGTAGCACCAGGTGTTACTATTTAGTGCACTAGTGTCTGTATCTTAGTTGTTTCAGGTCTAGAACCTACAGTAACTGTGAAGTAATTTTTTTATGCCCAACACAATTTCAGTAGCATTTATATGGAAGCACATGAACAATAAAGATGGCAGTTTTGTTTTATGTAAACATTTTTGACCCACAAAGAGAAATGCTAGCATGGTATAAGCCACATAATTCCCCATTTCTACATGGTCCTCATATTTTAATGCTTTTGTGTGTTTGTGAGCATGGTGAAAACCTCTTCTGAACTGTACATCCAGGAACATATGAACTGAACAAATGAATTTAACATGTTAAAATGTATAGTAGTCAGTGTCCACTTTGGATTATTTATCCACAAAAGTTATGACCATTGACAAAATAAATGCTGAATATTTAGAAGCTGTGACATGTCAGCTGTAAGATTTACAAGGTGAAAAAAACCACAAATTTCCAAATACATTCCACAGTCTTTTTGCAGAGAAAATGCCCCTTATATCTGATTACTGGGCTGAAAAATATGGCTCACAATTCTCTACATATGAATAATATCAAGCACTCAGCTTATAAAATACCCAACAGTCTTTGAGGTTCTTTCCCCAGCCTTGCCCAACAGAACACTATGTTTTTAAGATCATGCATCTTAATCTCTTCTTTGTGACACAATAAATAATTTGCCTTCATTTCTGTCCTGTGCTTAATGTCAAAATAATACTGAATGGCATCCTCTTGATTTAGTGAGGATTTAAATATAATGCAAAGATCTTTTATTGTTTTGGTCTAAGTGCAAAAAAAAGTTAAAAAAGCATTTGACTTGATTGAAATTCAAAGAATAAAAGCTTTCCAAGAGACTGACAAATAACTCGTATTTATGGTTCCAAAGTATAGTTTAAAAAGAAAGAACCTAATGCAACAGTTGTGGATCTATTTGCATTTAGCTCAGTTTGGATGTCAAAGTTCCACTTGTAGAAACAATGGCATTCCCCAGTGGGACATCTAAGGGACATTTTTCTTACTACAATGTTTTAGCTTCATATGGCCAACTGAGATATGAGGAACCACCAGTGCATACTTCATTGACCCATATATATGCTTCTTTGATATATGTATTTTTTTTCAGTTGCAATTTAATTTGTACATTCTTGGTATGCAAAATTAACTGTGAAGCCTTGACTATGAAAGGGAATATATATGTACTGAAAGAGAATATATATGTACTGGTATTTGATTAATGTATACTGTACTCTATGGCTGAAATCCTATTGCATAGCACATTATGTTTCACTAGAGTAGGCCCACGGAATCAATGAGGATTGAAATTCAAAGAATAAAAGCTTTCTAGGAGACTGACAAATAACTCGTATTTATGTTTCCAAAGTATAGTTTAAAAAGAAAGAACCTAATGCAACAGTTGTGGATCTATTTGCATTTAGCTCAGTTTGGATATCAAAGTTCCAGTTGTAGAAACAATGGCATTCCCCAGTGGGACATCTAAGGGACATTTTTCTTACTACAATGTTTTAGCTTCATATGGCCAAGTTCTGGAAAAGGTGAAATCCCACAGTTCTCCCTGGGTCCTTGTCTTTTCACCCTTTAAATGCAGCATTTGAGAAGTGGATCTAACCACCACTTTCCTGTCTCTGTCAAGTCTTTCTCAGCTGCTGCCATCAGAGGTGTTCTGTTTATGCGATTTCCATATGACACTTCCTGTTGCCTGACTTTGCATGCTCTTGCAGTAGCCTTGAAGTCTCTTCCTGATCTTCTCCTTGTAGAAATAGACTGCAATACCCTCTATTTGAAATCTAAGCAGATGTCTCCCCTGATTTTAATGCAACCAATTCAGAGTCATCTATATACTTTCCATTAAACTGTTCGCTGTTGGAGTCATGATGATATAGATAAATCGGAACCTCTGTGATAGATGTTGCTGTATAAGAGGTAGACCGCGTTGAGCAATGGTCTCGTCGCCTTTGACCCCATTGCGTTTTGTACTGCATCCACTGCCTCTTCAAAGCTCCTTGGACCTGCAGGCACAAAATACTAGATTTTAGACTAGCATAAAATAAAAGTTCCTCGGTATGGCAGTGTAGCCAAGCCCTCTTCTCATTTTGGTGGCCACCTCTTCTTTCCCAAGGTTCCTATGTCCCTATCTATTCCTTGATTCAAAGCCACAAAAGGCTGATCATGAAATGAAGGAAAGCCACCACCAAAAGTAATGGGTTGTGTGTGTTTTCTGGGTTTTGGTAGTACTGTGAAAGGAACAAACTAGACAGACTTAAGCAGAAGTTACTAATAATCATCTAACAGAGATTTTATATACAAGACTAGAACAAGATAATGAACTATACAGGGTTAGACCCTGATAGTATTCTAAGTAACTGCTTTAAACTTTCCCAGAATGTTTTCAACGTTCTCTTCACTTCTGCACCACATTCAGACATCCTCCTCTCACTACAATACCAGTTGGTCTATCTTAAAAGCATGGTAAGATATTTTTATTCTTCATGCTTAACATCCTGAATGAATGCTTGTCAGTGATTTAGTCTATATAAAGGATACTGCTGTATCCTTTATATACACAGAGTGCTTTCCTCTGAAGATGCCAGCCACAGAGACTGGCGAAATGTTAGGAAGAACAACCTTCAGAACATGGCCAAAGAGCCCGAAAAACCCACAACAACCGATAATGCTGTACATTAATCTTTAATGTGTGAATCAGTTCTCAATGGGAAAAGAGGAAATTTAAAAACTGGAGAAGATTGCAAAACAATTAACTACTAGATTCTCATCCAGATCTATATATTTTCTACTCAAGTGTATATTACCTATTCTTGCATATTGTTTACCTTTTCATGAGATATGTTTGCTACTACTAGATGATATGTTATATGGAATTATGATATATATGGGGCTCATTGCCATGCCTGTGGAGTTTGGTACTGGTTTTTATGTTTTTCATAACGAACATAAAATGCTAGTTTATTGTGTTGTCTACTCTGGGTTATATTGTGCTGAGCATTTTTGTTTGCATGGTGTAACCTAGTCCTTTGTGATCATTTTTCTTCAAACACAAAGCTAGCCCTGCTGACTATTAATTTTTCCAATATAATCATGCAGCTAGAGTCTTTCAAGAAGCCATTTGTTTTAATGTTCTCCTACCATACTAAAATTAGAGGTTGTGAAATAATGTGAACGTTATCTGTTTCCAGAAACACTTACTTAGTGCAGAATCAGCAGCAGATTAAATGAAGTACAAGGAACCCAGTAAAATACAAATGCTTGCTTGTTATAGACAGTGAGCACATAACTACTCTGATCCAAGGGGGGGGGACATTTAAACTGTAGGGTAAGCCTCTCCCAAACTGGCTGGTACCCTTCAAACGTGTTTATACCACCTATCATGCCTACTTAGCATGGCCACTGGGTGGCTGTGTTGATGAGGACAAGAAACATGGGTTTAACATGAGGGGGGTTTACTGTCAAGCGTAGAGAAATGATGTGGCCCCAACCGAAGGGAGGAAATACTTACATTTTAACCAAATAATATGTTTTATTAACTGGCTGTACACCTTTTAAATTGCATTTGTGTATTTTAGCCACATAGTATGTTTTATGAACTGATTTTATATTTTTAAACTGCATTTTGTAGGTTTTAGCCACATAATACGTTTTATGAATTGGATGTACATTTTAAACTGTATTTTGTATATGTAAACCATAGTTATGTTTTATGAGCTGGTCACCTGACCGTAATGAATGAATTGATTGTGTTGATGTGTTTTGTAGTCCAAAACATTTGCAGAGGTTGAAGTTGAGGAAAGCTACTGCAGACAACTGGCTACCAACAATGGGTACAATGCAAAATGAATAGTAAATTGAAATGCATCTGCTCTGCAGATTAAAATGATTTCATCTGAAATACAAGTGTGAAGAAATGTTCTACAAATTAAAATAAATATAATTACAAAATGTGCAGTTTATCACTGATGATGAGAATATCAGCTTTCTGTTCATTACTTCTACATAACAACATGAACATCATCAGTTATCATTGGGCAAATCCTATTCATGCAGGCAGAATGTAAAGTTATGCCTATATAAATGTAGTGGGAGTTATGCTTGGCCACAGGAAACTGTGCCATTAGATTGCACAACTGGCTGTGCGATTCCCATTGCAACCACTGTACAATGCATTCTCAGAAGTGCTTCCTGGATAGCACTTCTATCTTGGTGCTACTGTAGCAACAAAAAGGTTTTCCTCTTTCTGCCATTCCAAATTATGCTGCTGAAATAAAGCAAGCTTGGAAAAAAACCCTGGAGTGGATAGAATGGATGACAGAGTTTCAGTACTGAAAACAAATTTTTTACTCTGAGCGATGGTGTTAGAGGTATGATCCTGTAATTCTAGGCACATATATCTGCCTTCGGAGCTACAGTTATCCCAGGAAGGGAACATTGAAGTTTTGGTAAAAAAGAAAGTAGATTGGACACACTGGATATGCCCATCTTAGTGTAAAATTTCCACCTTTTGATGTTTCTCAGAACTTCTGGACTAAGATTACCTTTAATGAGAACCATCCTCACTCTCCAAGACTCCTCTGATTAAAAGCACTGATGCCAAGAAATATTGCTTATCAAACTGAAACATATATTCTTCTTTTCTAAATCTTAGTAATGTATTACATTCTCCTCACAGTTTTTAGAAACCAGTAATGCAGAACTGGCAGGTGTAAAAAACAGTTTAACACCATAAAATAACGACACATGGAGTACCTATACATACAAGGTCATGTGGGCCTAATTTTTGTATTATAAACAGCCTTGAAACATTCTAGAGGAACTTTGCTTTCTTGGGCCCATTCTTTTCAAAATGACCTCACAAAGGCCAGAAAAGGTTATGAATCTTCTGATTGCAATTTTCTTGGAGGAATTATCTCTGTAGATAATGTCATTATGCAGATTTGCCACCATGTGGCATCAACTTTAGTGATCTATATGGGAGGAATCAATAATTTCTTGCAGTGAGGAGAAGAAATAACATTCTTATCTAGCTTTCCTGGCAAATGTCTCCCTTAAGTTTTATATGACAAGGTTGTGTGTCTATGTGTTATGTGTTATCAAGTGAGAACTGATTCACAGCAACCTTCTTAGGGCTTTGAAGGTGAGATACTGTATTTATGTTCCACCTTCTCACCCTATGAGTTTCCATGACTGAGTGGGGATTTGAACCCAGGTCTCCTAAGTTATTCTATTATTTTATCCACTTCATCCCCCTGAATAGCCCTGTATGATCAGGGCTGTACAAAAAAAATTTCCCTATTGATCAGAACATGAACTGTCTGTTTTAAAGGTAAACGTTCCTCTTGACATTTAGTCCAGTCGTGGTGTGGTGCTCATGCCTGTTTCCAAGCCATAAAGCCAGCGTTTGTCTGAAGACAGTTTCCATGGTCACATGGCCAGCGTGACTAGACACAGAATGCCATTACCTTCCCACCGAGGTGGTCCCTATTTATCTACTTGCATTTTTACATGCTTTCGAACTGCTAGGTCGGCATGAGCTGGGACAAGCGGCGGGAGCTCACTCATTCGTGTGGATTCGATCTTACAATCTGCTGGTCTTCTGACCTTGCAGCACAGAGGCTTCTGCGGTTTAACCTGCAGCCCCACCACATCCCTACTGTCTGTTTTAGTTTCTTTCTAAAGGCCATCATTAAATGCAGCACATAAAATCCAGATGGACAGTCATCTACACTTTCCTCACTGCTCTAATAGGCTCCATGTTGCATGCCTGGTCTGAAGATTGCTCCTATGCGAGACCAGACATGTGCCAGAGAGGCTGCTGGAGTAGTGAGAAGGCTTATACAACCACTCTTGCAATCTGCATTTGCTGAATAGCACATGTTCTAGGTGGAGCTTTGATGGGAGCTGAAAAACTATGATAAAATGAGGCCACGTTACTTTTCTCCAAAAATAAATATGGACCATTGCATGGCTTTTGAAATCACTTATTTTGGATCAGTCTGATTGTGCCTTCATGCATATTGGTCCAGTAACAAGCACTAAATCACTGAAGAAACTGAGGCTTCAGAGCATTACAGCTAATCCCTTTTTATGTCATGGCAAGGTTCCCCCCTGAAGAAACATTACTTTGATCTCTTTCCATCTGACAAAAGCCAGCTGGACAACTGCACTTCAAGAAATCAAGAACTGAAATCAGGCGCTGGCTTTAGCTAACAGGCTGTACCAGATCTAAGGAGTGGCTGGAGATCCTAGATAAATGTTGGTAAAATAAACTAGAATTCTTCCAGAGAAACCCACGATAGAACAACTCATGCCAAAGGAACATGGGAACTTCACCTTGCAATACCACTGCTGTTCTGGACTGCCAGACAGCATCCACGTTTCACCTCTTGCCTTTCCTCATTTTCCCCCATAGTCTGTTCTGTTTTAATTTCTTTGACTCATACTCATTTTTCATAATGCTAATTTTTAGGCAGCAACTTTCAAAGGCAAAATCCATCATATAAACATTTCTACAGGAGTAGTTAAGTGGTTACTATCACGAAAGGTTTTGTCACAATAAATCTGCTAGCCTTTGTCCTATTCACAATGCTCTAAATTGTCTTTGCACTCCTGTACACTTTTATTGAATAAAAACGATTTTTAAAAATCATCATAAAAAGAGTACAAGATCACAGAAACATACCAAAGCCACTTAAAAAAAAACTTACCAGTATTGAACAATTTATGAGTACAGTGTTTAAAGAGCCATAAAATCATATGAATATTATCTAAACTAGTCAAATAGAACATCTCCACTTAGGGCTGAAGGGACCACCAGTACCTCACTGGGCAAGTAGCCCATAGCTATGGGGCTGCTGCTGAAAATACTCCATCTGCTGTGCACGCAGCCTTAACAGTCTCACTGATGGGTACATGGAAAGATTTTCTGAAGCTGGCTTCACAACACAAATAGACTGGTATGACTGAAGGTGGAGAAAAGGTAGCACTATGCTTAAGGTAGGCAATTCCCATAAATTAGGTACTTTGCAAAAACACCAGTTAATCTAGAAGTGGATATGAGTTTTAATGTTTAGTTAAAATCTTTGGGTAAAATGAATTATAATGTTCAGATAATGGATGTGGGAAGGTTGTACTTGTGATCATATTTGTTTATCCTATTCTGAGGTGTCTGATCCTGCAAAGAACTGGGCAAGAGCATTTTGACATCCAAGGAAGAAAATCCAAATAATGTCAGAGAAATTTATGGAGTAGAAGCTGAAGTTACTCATCCTTATATTAGATCTAATAAAACCAATGAGGAAAGGGCAGGAATATAGTTCTAAATGACCCCTATAAAATTATATAGAAGAAATGAATACACCAGCCAAAGACTCATCTCACAGGATAGCCCTCCTGCCAGATGGGCAATACAGATTGAATCACACTATTTTGGATTGCCTGGAGGTCTGGGAGAGCAACCAGCCTAGAATGTATTTTTGTAAGCAAAGTCTATCTGTCTTCTTCCTCTCCATTGTCCTTTGATGATCAGATAGGATTAGTCAGGAGGGCAAGATTGCAATCAGGGCAGAACAGGTGAAGCGGGCACATGACTCACAAGGGGACAAATCACTGAAGTCAGCCTGGCCAGAAACCATATTAGAAGACTCATGTTAGCCATATTATTGGTTCTGGGGTGGCCGTGGTTGCTGTCCCCATTTCTGTTTCAAGCCTGCTGCTGCTAAAGGCCTCCTGCTAATCCCTGCCAGGTCCCTTTGCACTGATATCATTGTTTCTCAGCTGAAATCACTGGTTTAGCCTCCAATCCGGGACCTAGTATTTAACCAGAGGTTCCTGCTAGCCTAGGCTGCTCTTCTGAAGTCATGGTTTCTAGCCTAGGACATTTGGTAGCCTGTCCGCTCTTGAGATCCTTGCCCAAGAATTGTTTTACATGCTTCAGCTGGAGTTCCAGTGCTCCCCAGCTCCAAAACTGTCTAATGAGACTAAGGAGAGCACATTTTTATCATCCCTAATATATTTTTGGGGTATTTTCCTCACATATTGGTGGCCTGTATGGTTTATGGAAAGCCACCACTCTTTCTTTCCTCCTATCTTTACAGACATCTCTGCATCTGGTCAGGCTCTGTAGAGCTTTATAGGAGCAGCCTGAACCTCAGAATCCTCTCATCCAGGTGAGTTTGCTTCTTTCGAGTCTATATTTCCCCATATTAGTTGCAAACGTTATTGTGGAATATTTGTAACTCCTCAATATAATCATTGCGTATATTTTAATTCTTGTGTTTTCAGTAAATTTCCCCTGTTGAATAGCTCTTGTGTGAATGTGATAAACTCAGTCTAATCTGTATAAGATATAGAATTGCCATGGTTCAAATACACCTTTATAGTTGTGTCTCTAAACATGTGTGAGTTCATACACATTTTTAAAAAAAATAAAAATTCTAAAACTCTGTGGGCTACTCCAGAGCAGAGAAGTCTCTGAAAATAAAAGGAGATATTTAATCATTTAGCAAGATGTAGGGTCAAGCTTTTCTCAAGGAAAGATTCCAGTAAAATCATCAGTACCAACAAAATGCAAACAAGATTTCCAAATACCGCACAATGAGTTCTTAGTAAAGCTTGGATATGAATCCTGTGGTTCCTGGATGCTGGACTTGACCTCATGTAATTAAAGATCAACATTTCAAATCTTGGCAGTTCCAGGAAAACAGAGAGGTGAGATTATTATGAAACTATAGATCAATGTTGAATTTAATGTGTAGAGATAGGAAATTATTATGGGTTGACACAGGCATAAATATTTGCAAACTTTGAAAAGTTAATGGTATACCAAATGTGGCCTTATATAATAAACAAGAGAAGATAAATGCTTCAAGTAGTCACAGTGATTAATAAGAACAATTACATCACTTCATGTTTAAATACTGGATAAATCCTTTATGTCTTGGAAACAAAGCAGAATAAAATAAAATGGACAAGTATAAAATGGGGTATATGTGGCTTCTCATTATACAAAGAGGATTATTGGACTGTAGCCAGTTACAAGGTGAACATGAGTTAGTAATGTATCCAAATTCAGTCTGCAGTGATGGAAGCAAAGTTTTCAACTTAGAGAAAATTATGTTTTGACTTCATTTCAACTGAGTCAGATTTCATTTGGAGTGGTCTATCCAAGTCTGGATAGAAGAACTGAATCAATTATTGGAACTCAGAAAAGGATAATTAAAATGGGGAGAGGTATGAAAAATAAATCTTAAGAGGAAAGTTTTTTTCCCCAGAAACACATGTTTAAACTTAAGAATTTTTCCTGGATCCTTCATAGCTTTCCTTCCAAATCTCAGACTTTTCCTGCAGTCACAATTTTGAATGATGTCTTAACTAAGGCAGAGGGACTTAAAAAATAAAACAAAACAATTTCCTTCCGAACACAATTGTCTACTTAGAGATCACAATTCGGCTTGGCTTATTTTGACCTTAGGTCACCCACTACTTAAATGTAACTTCACAGATTTTTCTCAGAATAGCATTTGCCCTCAGATTGAAAAATGCTGTATTTGGGAGCTACCTTATTTTGGATAAAATAATTCCTTAAATATCCCACACATGTCGAAAACCCTATTAGGGTTGTCATAAGTTGGATGTTGCTTGACAGGACATAATAATTACAAACCAGGAAGCGAAATACATGAGCAAATGATTACTCTTTCAAGAGGATCCTGATGCAACATCACTGCATCAACTTATTCCAGTATTAAGGTATGTTCCCAGGATCCAAACATATAGGAGATATATGGGTTAATTTTCTTAGAAAAGCTGATGGAGCTTGTCAGACTTGAGGTTTCCTAATATTGGTTTAAAGTATGATACGGAGAAGATTTATTTATTTATTTTTATTTATTTAGGGCATGACTATACATTTTTAAAAATTGCAGGAAATACTACAAGTTTTGGGAGGGCTGATTTGCATTTTTTTTAACGTTGATCACATGACATAACAGGAAATGTGAATCAATCCGGAATCTCACAGTCTGGATCCATAGTTTTTTTCTCCCTACCTGAGACCTTTCTTTTTTTTTTAAAGTTAAATCCTTTAATTTCAGTTCAAAGCATGTGGTTGCTTGAACTCACGCAGAAAAGAAAGACTAAACACGCGCGCGCGCGCGCGCGCGCACACACACACACACACACACACACACACACACACACACACACACACACACAGCAGTGCTTTGGCAAAAGACCTTTTCCTCTCATCTCCTGCCTCACATGAAAGGATGAGGAGAGCACATAAACACAAGCAGTGGCAGCATTTACCTCTCTCTGCCAAGCCTCTCCTCCAAGATACTTTTCTGATTTTTTAACAGCTTCTCCTGGGCAGAGCTACCATTTATTTATTTATTTATTTATTTATTTATTTATTTATTTATTTATTTATTTATTTATTTATTTATTTATTTATTTATTTATTTATTTATACTTACTTACTTACTTACTTACTTACTTACTTACTTACTTACTTACTTACTTACTTACTTACTTACTGCTTAAGGAATTCTACTGCCAAGGTAAGATGAGGGAAGGAATGACTGAGGGAGGAATCAATCATTCATTTCCTCTTAAGGCAGTTCTTTAGAACCATGCCACTTACAGGCACTTCAGGTACAACTTCAATTACAAAACATTGTTATCTGCCTGTGTGGCCACTTGAACTGAAGAGAACCGAACTTCACAGTGAGAGAATTGAAGTCAGTTTGCATTTTCTTCACTGTGTAGATGCACCCTCAGTCTTGCCTTGTTGTTTCAAAAATGCCTTCCCTTCTTCCCAGCCTTTTAAACAGCACTTACCTCTCTGGGACAGCCTTGGTAATGGCTGTTCCAGTTATGGGATAACACAGCGAGATCTTTCTGTATTCTTCACAGTCTACTAGTGCTATGCTAGGGAGACATAATGTGTGTAGTCCTTGAAAAATAAAATTTTCCTAGTGGAATGTCAAGCTTTCTTTCTTTCTTTCTTTCTTTCTTTCTTTCTTTCTTTCTTTCTTTCTTTCTTTCTTTCTTTCTTTCTTTCTTTCTTTCTTTCTTTCTTTCTTTCACAATAGCTTGACTATCTGAGGAAAATTATCTCTACTTGTCACATTAAGGAGCAACATTTTGTATGGCTATTTATTTATCATTATAAAGTTTAATTGTTTCAGAAACTTACCTCTCCATTGAAGAAACAGAAAATAGTTGCCACGAGTAAACCCTAAGAAAGAAGAGAATGTGACTCAGACTGTTTTCAAGTTGTGTTCATCTATGATATGAACGAATAATACAAATGTAATATTTTCTTCATTTCATGCCATATACTTAGACTCTGATAGCTAGGCTCTTGATGGTTAGACTCTGATAATCATCATAATCATAATCATCATCATAAAGGGGCAAGAAAAGATCTGGTAGGTCCAAGTAAAGTTTCTGTAGCACCCGTTTTCCCGAAATGACCAACCACTTGTCTATGGGAAGTCCATGAGCAGGAATGGCAACTAATACGTGTATTTCCTTTTGCTTCTCCCCAGCAACTGGTATTCAGAGACATGTTGCCTCTGATACTGGAGGTAAGATATAGCCATTGAGAGCATTACACTCAATTAATTCGTCTAATCTGATTTTTAAACTACTCAGGTTGTTGAGCACCAGTACTAGGAATACTTCCTTTTGTCTGATATGAGATTCCCAGAATTACTGTCCTACAATGACAGCGCCTTGTTACAGGGGCGAAGGAAGCATTCTTTAGTCTCTTTTTAAAGGTAAAACCCCAGATTGTTTAATGAATAGCAAATCCTCAAGTAAAAGAAAGGAGGGTGTGGGAAATTTGTGAGAAAAGAAACAGTTTACAATAAGAAAATTCGTGGTATATTGGTGGAAAATCCACCACACAATTTCAGAAAGGATAATGGGTAATTGCTGGGTAATTGCAATGGATAATTGCTGGGGGGGGGGCAACGTGTAGCCTGATCCATCAAATACTCTGAAGTATCTTGTGAGACTTAAAAGACAGTAAATTTCATTATGACACAGGTTTTCAAAAAAGGCAGCTTCTCTCATGAAACAAACTGATGTTCCTTCAGAAAAGGAGATTATTTTTGTCAGAACATGGATGGTTTTATTTTCCAGTAGGAAGGGACTGTAATGGTAGGGCAGTAATGCTGAAACAAGAGTTAACTTCCCCTCCCCTCCCTTGGCTGTCTTGGTCATAACTGTCCCTTCCCTTCTTCTCCCAACTACTGCTTTAAAAAAAAAACACAAACACATGTACCCTCAATTGCAAACTATAAGTTTAAGACAATGTCCAACATGGCCTTTACAACCTTCTTCTATTTATGTCCATGTGGACGCAAGCTCCACTTTAATTTATTTATTTATTTATTTAATTTATACCCCGCCTATCTGGTCGGTGAGGACCACTCTAGGTGGCTAACAACAATAAAATACAGCAACAATATAAATAAAAAATTCTAATTAGTAAAAACACTACAATACATTACATAGAGTGCAAAACAGAAATAGTAAAGAGGGAAGAAGGAGGTCAAGAGGAATATGATGGAAAGGCCTGCCCAAACATCCATGTCTTCAATTGTTTCTTAAAGATACCCAGCGAGGGAGACCCGCGAATCTCAGGAGGGAGATTGTTCCAGAGGCGAGGAGCCACCGCCGAGAAGGCCCGATTTCTTGTCTTCTCCTTCCGGGCCTCCCTTGTACCCTCAATTGCAAACTATAAGTTTAAGACAATGTCCAACATGACATGGCCTTCCTTCTTCTATTTATTTCCATGTGGACACAAGCTCCACTTTAATTATTTTCCAATTAAGGGCTCTGCAAGATGGGAGAAAGGTTCCATCCTGTTTTTCCTGCTTGGTTAAAATAACCCAGGGTTTTACTGGGATTTGCATTCCCACCTCCATTTTAAATGCTACTTCTCTTAAAACAGCTTTGGCGGGCTTTGTACGTAATTTTCCAATTAAGGTCTCTGCAAGATGGGAGAAAGGTTCCACCCTGTTTTTCCTGCTTGATCACAATAACCCAGGGTTTTACTGGGATTTGCATTCCCACCTCCATTTTAAATGCTACTTCTCTTAAAACTGCTTTGGCTCAGGAAATCTTAACATTCCTTTTAAAATATGGAATAAACCTACTTCTTTGATAGAGTTTCTCTTCTAGAATTATTTTGGGTGGTGGGGGTTAATCAAAAACTTAACTGAAAGCTTCTGACCAGCAGGCTGTGGAGCTTCTACTGGGAAGTGTCATCATCTTAACTTCCAAATTTTGCTTCCCGGAACAAATCAAATTAAAAAATAAACCATGATTCAGGAGGAGACAATAAGCATGGGAAGTCACAGATTTTTGCTACTGTTGTGAGGTAATCCTTACATCATGTGGATGGCAGGAAAAATATTGATAAGGTCAGTGCAGAATGAGGTACATTATTAAGGAGAACATATTAAAAAGGCTGCAGAGCAAGATTCTTTTCTAAGTCTTTTCTCATTTTCCCCCGTTAATAAAAAAAAAAAACTTCAGTTCACATAAGGGCTTCCTGTCTCTGTTCCTATTCTCCTAAATTCTGCTTCCATTTGCCATTTTATTGTAAGAGTAAAACGGACATTGTCATTTGAAGACAATGGGTTTGCTCAGATGATCTTGAAATTAGATTTCAGCTTTCAATTCTGTAGACTACACTGAGCTGTAAAAAAGGAAACTGGTATTAAAAAAAACCCAGACAAAACTTGAGAGTGATGTTATTTCTGAGACACAGAAAGTAACAGTAGTAAATGAGGTAATAAACAAGTTATGCCTGCACAGTTAAGAAGCCTGCCATTTCACAGAAGAAGAGGGTGAAAAGAGATGTCTATTTATCGCTGGCTTTAAAATAAAATAAAATGGAACACGATTGGAACTAGCAGTAGGCCACAGCAGGCTATTGTCCTAGCTTAATATGTAATTATGCATTAAATGTTAAGAGTTTCCTGACTGTTCATGTTGGGGAATATGGTAAAGGTGAATAGAAGTACCCTCAATAGAAATGGCCAGATACAGTTCAGTAATTTGGCATATTTTAATGACAATCATCTCATGGTAAAAAACCCCAAAACTGTTATTCTGGATTACTTGTCATTTTGATCCCCATGTTATTCTATAAGTAAACTGCAGTATGTGGCATCCTGACAGAATGTGCCCTTTCACAATCCATTTCCTTTCAGATATTTCTGAATTAACCTCTCATCTGATCCACTCAACATGGATAATGATCATGGGTTATGGGAGGTATTGTTCAAAACAACTGGGAGCTACAAGTCAGGGAAGGCTGCGCTCACTGAAACATAAGGGGCGAGACAGGGATTTCATGAGCCCAAACTGGTTGCCTGTTGGCTTGAGCAGAATGATGGTTTATCCCTTTCCCCACATGTGCAGGAACCTTTCTGGACATGATATGAATAGGTAGAGAAGGGTAAGGGGAGCAAATCTCCTTTCCCTTTTCTGGCTGGGAAAGTGCAAGGTGGTCATGGCAACAGTCCCCAATAGGCATCCCATATTGTAACAAAAGTCTAAATGTGCAAACAGCTGGAGGGTGCATATAAAAACTTGAGGTTCAATTCTTTTGTAAAGGAGGTGTTTTGGAGCTGCCCATTCAAGACCAAACCACCTTCAAATAGTTTACATTACAGCTAGAACAGCTTGCAACGATTTTTTTCTCCTAATCATGGAAGGACTGGATCTAAGGGGAAAGGGAGGGTGGCAGATGATGTCATAGTCCCTGCCACGTCAAAAGCATGGAGGGTTTATGTGGGATGGGGGGCAACTGCCCCAAGCCTTTAACTGCTGGGCTGTATGGACAGATCAAGCATCCTGATGTACAGCAGGTTCCTACATCTTTATTTGCATCACTGTCAATCTTCAATGTACGTAAGTGAAGACATAATAAATCTGTGATGCCATCCTAAATTAGTGCCCTACTGAATATTAGTCAAGGGCAAGACAATGAATCAGTATTGAAAGTGGTAGGAAGGTCATAAGTTGCAACGCTAGTTGTTTAACATCCAGGGTGATACACGCAACTCCTGAGGGGGCAGGAGTCACTTTGGCCAGAAACATATATTACAGATAGTATGTAATTACAACTGAAAATAATGTGAAGAAATGATTAAGGGGGCCACTCCATGTTTGTGAAATCAGACTTCACAGAAATCCTATGCTTAAATCCTGAAAACTGATAATCGAACAAAACAAGCTAATCTGCCTACGTGTGGAGTTGTTCGTGTTAACTGATGTGAGTGTTGTGACAACCGGATGCTCACATTAGTTAAGAATTTACCTCTTTCACTCATAAGCTATATCTAACATTTGTTTCTGGCCTTTAGCAGTTAATAATGTAGAAGGTGCAATTCTCTTTTGTAGTATTTTCATTTTAAGTGAATGTGGATTTATGTTTCTGTCATGCACCAATGACTTGTTTCCAAAACATGATGCTATTATGCAAATATTTGCGCCATTAACTCTACCAGTTTCTCTAATTAGATTTAGCTTTCTTTTTCTCTCTGTCTCTTCAGTGAGTCACTTCCATATTTTTTGCCTCATCTTACTTGCATAAGCACCAATTATGAAGCTACAATATCTGAACTTAGAAATACAAACAGATCCCCAGGTTTACGGAGAGACTCTGTTGGAACCTGTCATGTTATAATGGAAAATACAAAGAAAAGGGTTTTTTCCCTTTTCCCCACTTCATTTTTTTAACTTCATGCTTAAACTTTCCACTTACTTTCATATGGCAGTTTCAGTTATTTCATCTCTCACTGTCCTGCCCTCTTTTCAAGATTGCTGCCTTCTTCACAAAACACTTTCAGTCATAGCAGTGACAATGACACCATCTCACAATTTCCTCAGGTAAAGGAACCCCATGTGATGATGGCTTAAGAACTCTTGACTAATATTTAATCCACTGAGATGGGTATCCAGCATATGTATACATTTTATCTCAAGTGTCTCTCTTTCTCTGGATTCCTGGCCTATAATTTTTCTTCTCTTCTCCTGAAAGCCAAATGTCAAATCCTGTGAAGAATATCCAGGTAGACTGAAATGATTTGAAACAGGTTTCTGTGTTATGCCATTTCTGATGTACAAGTTATGTCCATTCATTCTTTTGTGCAGAGATATTATCCCTTTTGTCCTATGTAGAGTGAAGAGGGGCACTGTTGTATACAATATGTA